TGACGAAAGAGGCGATTCTACAATGCACCTCAACATCTTCAAAACTCATATGAGCTTGAGAGGAGCCACCCCTACCATGAAGTGCAGAGCCTTCCACTTAACTCTAAGTGGAGTGGCTTAAGGGGATGATTGGATATGAATCTCTCTTCTGAAGAGATGTGTAAAACATAGACCGTACTAATTATGATACATTATTGGAAATGATAAAGCATAAGATCATCAATGAAGAATTGAAAGATCATCGGGATAAGGCAAATCGAGGACTCCCACCACGTCAAATGTAAATAGAAAGAGGTCTCATCTCCAATTTAATGGATCACCAAGTTGGACAATAGACCTCCTTCAATCCAAGACAAGCATTGGCTGCAGCAACATTAAGTGCAGTGCTAACTTTAGCTTTCGAGAAAGTGAACCCCAGTGAAAAAAGTACCAAGGTAGACCTTACCAACGATTCTTCCCATGAGGAAAGGTAAGGAACGAGGTGTTAAACCTAAAGATCAGGATGAAGTATCCTTCTACTACACATATCACCACTACCATAGTTACAACATTGTTAGTTTTCGCGATGCACTCTAACAATCAAAGAAGAAATAGGTTCCAACAAAGAGACAAACCGCTTAGGCAAGATCAGTAGCCTAGGAATGATAAGAAGAGGCACCCAATAGAAGCGATGCCCCGAGAAGATGAGACAATGATGAGGAAAGACCCAATGAGGGTCAGAGAAAAAGAGCTTTCAGCTAATGATGGTGTGAGCCCATCCAAGAAATTGACACAATTTTTTGAGGCCCACATGTCGGGAAGAATCCAAAAATGACCAAAGAAACTATGTCAAGAAAGCTAAGGACCCAACAATGGCGATAAGGGTCCAACCCATAACATTCATCCAAGATGATGCTGCTGGAGTGCATTATCTACATTGTGATGCCCTGGTAGTAAGAGCTATTGTGGCCTAAAACGGTCTCAAAAGAATATTAGTAGACAATGAAAGCTCGATTAACATCATATTTGGAGCCACATTTGATAAAATGGAAGTCAGTCATGAGTTAACTCCAATGAATTTTCCCTTGTACAGATTTACTAGTGATAGCATCATCCTAAGAGAAAAAATTACTCAAGCAATAGAGATGTGGATGACACCATTAGTGACTCACTATTTTATGGAATTTTTTGTGGTAGACAATCGCTCAGCTTATCAAGGAGTGCATGGGAAGCCCACTTTAAAAAAAATCATGGCTGTCACATCCATCCACCACCTATACATGTAGTTCCCAATAGAGAATGGTATCACCACAATCAAGGATCAAATAAGTATTAGGGAGTGCTACTCCAACTCTTTTAGAAAATTTGAACCAAGGGATGTTAATGTCATTCTAATGGACATTAATGAGAACGACGACCTTGAACAAAGCAAAACCATAAAAAAAGGGATGACTTTGAGATGATAAACGCCTCTGAAAAAGATGCCATTTTTGAAGTTCAATCAACCACCGAAGGCTATTGAAAAAGCGGCTAATTTTGATGAATAGGATCCCCATATAATTGAGAGCGAACCACAGATAGCCTTGGTTGAGGAACTAGAAAGCTTTACAATGGGTTCTCGGAATCCTTCCAAATCCTTGCAGGTCGTAAAAAAACTACCAGCAATAGTCAAGGAAAGTTGAAATGTTTCTTGCACGACAACTTAGATGTCTTTGTAGGGAAACATGAGGACATGGTTGACATCGATCCAAAGGTTAGTTGCTATCACTTAAAAATTGACACAAATGCTACCTCTCATCGGTAGAAAATGAGAGCCATTAGCTCAGAAAGATATGAGGCCCTGAAGGATGAGGTAAAACAGCTGATTGATAATCACTTTATTCAAGAATCAACTTATCCGAAGTGGCTGTCAAACCACATCCTTGTAAATAAGCACAATGGAAAATGGGGGTATGCGTTAAATTTTTCAATCTTAACCAAGCCTGCCCTAAGGATGGCTTTTGATTTCCATGAATAGATCAACTCGTTGATTCTACTACTCAACATGAACTGCTAGCTTTATGGATGCCTATTCAGGCTACAACTAGATCCCAATGCACCCTGCTAATGAGGAACATATGTCCTCAATAACAGAAAGATGTCTCTATTGCTACAAAGTAATGCCTTTTGGGTTGAAAAATATAGAGGTCACACATACGGTATTTGATTTTAATGAAACCAAACCGATAGTTCAATGGGACGGGTATGATATTTGATTTTACTTACTTAGTTCGGGGCAGGATGGGAATGGTATTTGTGTTATCACCCCGCCCCGAACCGATTACTCATTAAAAAATTTGACAATTGGACTTTCCATTATTCTTTATATTATAATTTGTCTAACTCAAAATTTATGACCCATAAAATAATCTAATCCAATTACTACTTACCCACTAAGTACTAACCCTACCACAAAGAAAATAGGAATCAAATTCAACAAGACATTAGCTGATAGCCGTCTTCACTCGAGTCTCTGTAGTACGTCCCCAAAATTATTTTCTTTTCCACACCGTATTCTTTTTTGCTCGCTATTGTCATCCCCAAACAGAAGGGTATTTTATATTTTTTATTCATGAACTTTCTTTTATTGCTAATTTTTTTCTCTTTTGTGTGTAGAAAATTCTGCTCCTTCATCGTACTTCGAAATTTGTACAAGGTTTGGTGACGAGGATGTTGACGAAAATATATTTTTTTTTTTGTTTAAATCTTTAGTTAAGACCATTTTGGATTAGGTAGTATGGTTGTATTATTACTCTGCTTACATTTCTTATTTATTATATAGGAATCAGCTTTGAGCTTTGACGTGTGCTAGTAAGAGTTGTGGGGAAGAATAAAGATTGAATATGAATTAAAGTTGGAGCTTTTGAGTTATTGAGTAGGAATCAAGTTCGATGCACAAGGATCTTGGGACAAAGATATTGTTTAATATTGTTTATGTTGATAATATTGTTTGTTAAATTCGGATTTTGCATTTGATTATTGGGATATTGTTTGCTACATTGGTTTAGTATTATATTTTTGTTTTCATTGATTTTTTTTCATAAATTTTTTTTTTAAATTTGACGACTGGACCTACAAAAAATAATTTATTTTCATGCTTATTAATGACCTGAACCGAGCCGAACCAAGTTACAAACCGAATCGATTTACGTGATTATGGTGCGATTAAGGTATGACCAAAAAATTAGTGGTGCAGTGATGGTTTTGGCCGAACCGTTGCCAACCCTACTCTCTTCCATCTATATACAAATAAAAAGTAGACAAGTATAATATTTTTTAGGTTGAAAATAAAATCAATCAAACACATTTAATTGACAATTTTCATGCAAATAATTTATTGACAATTTCCAAGTAATTCAATCTCTCTCCCTCTCTCGCTTGTAATTTATTTTTTTCATATAAATTTCATGGTTGCAATCAAACACACCTTAAAGATAAAAGAGATACTAGAATATTTGTAAAATTTAACTTTCTAAGCCCCTATTTGAAATCTTTAAAATTTTAAAAATATAGTTTTGAATAATACTTTTTGAAAAATATGTGATTAAAAAATATGAAAAATTTTAAATTAACGTATAGAATATTTTATTACGTGAATGTATGATTAAAAATTAATATTAGATATAAACTAAATTTCATATAAAGAATGTGAAACAGAGGCAAAATTATAAAATACGTTCAATAGACATAGCATTTTTTTTATTTTTTATTTTATTTTAAAGGAATAGAGAGTGAAATGCTCAAAGACATGAAATGTATGCTAAAGATAATAGATATTATATTAGAGAGAGAGAGAGAGAGAGAGAGAGAGTGGTTGGAAAAGAAGAGTGGTGTTCGAAGACACAATTATTACATGAGTTCTTGGGGAAGTGGAAAGGGTTGGCGTGGAAATAGGTACAAGGAAAATTAGGGTAGAATATAGAAGAACGTGGGCGTGGGAGTCTCTTGACGTAGGTAGGGTACCAAAGGTAAAAAAAAGAAGTTAAATTTAGACCATTTCTATCATGATATGTCTCGCACGCACACCATATTCTCTTTTACTCTGCATTATTATTGTCCTTCCTTGCTCGACAATCCGTGTGCTGGGCAATTCACTGATTTGATTGTGCTTCCTCCCATCGCTATCTCCCAATGTGTGTGTATCCGCACTAAACTCCAATTTTTTTGGGATAATAGATTTTAGAATGGTATATCTCTAGAGAATATGTGATTAAAAGGCAAGAAAAAATTTGAGTTTAAGTGTTAAATTATTTTATTGAAAGGATGCACGAGTAAAAATGAATTTTGAAAAAATGAAACTCAAATAAGGGTTAAATCACTTGGCACTTGTGATATCAAGTTATACCATATTATCAACCTTTTTTTTCCCCCCGAGAAGGTGTATTGTTAATAGAAAAATTAAACATAAAATACTTAGGATTAAATATCTAGCCTAACCTTCCATCAGTGAAATCAAGATACAAAATTTTTAACATTTCATTGAAGTAATGCTCTCTACTATTTAAAAAATGTTTCAAGAGCGATAGATAAATTGATAATATTGGTAAATTCCATAAAAATGTATAATTTGACTGTTTCTAAATAATTTATAAACATTAACCAAACAATGAATCGTAATATGCGTGCAAGACATTAATAACTAGCTAGCAAAGAAGAATAATACTAAAATTTACTCTTTTGTTTCTGATATATGGAACTCATCATACTTTATCTACCCTCCATATCAGTTTTTAATGTCATTCGCGTAAGCTAAAATAAATTCAAAATCAGCATCAGAAAAACCACATATTTCATGTACACTTAACTGCATGCTATGTTAGTTTCACTCACAAAGTTATTTACGCCTTCCCTATTTATACAGGTTCCCGTCCAAATAAATAAGGGAAGTGGATCATCCATTATAATTGGATACGGAAATGGATTAAGAGAGAGGAAACAGAGTGCCGTGAGATGTAAGAAAAGAAGACTAAAAGTATTTATTATGTTGGGAGTGGACACTCGGTGGGGATGAGAACAGACTATGAGGGCCCAGAAAAAACAAATAAACCAAAAAGATACCTGTGAGAATGAGAGAAAGCGAAAAGGTAATTTGACGGTAGGATAAAAAGAGATCACTACCATTCACACCCACAAAGGCTGTGGCAGAGAAGAATAGAGTGAAGAAAAAGTAGAAGAAAAGGGGCAAACGGCTCTCCATCACAAGTTCAAAACACAAGGCTATGTCTTTTCTTCCTTTTTCTGTTTATTCCTTGACGTCCCTTTTTGCTTTGTAGGAAGAAGAATCCAAGTTTTAATCCCTTTCTTCATATACTATCTTTTCATGTGAAAGTACGATTAAAAGATTAATAAACAACCCTAAATTTGTTCAATTCAAACCCTGTTTTCTGCTATATATTTACCATATAAAGCCCATAAATTGAAGGGGTTGGGATAAAGGGATTTGTAGTATTATGTATGATAAGATAGAACAAGAATACCATCAGATGCAGCAACAGAACAGTACTTTTCAAGAAGTACCTCAAATCCTCCCATGGAGTTTTTCTCCGGGTCAAAATTTCAACCCGGTTCATCACTTTTCGACCCATAACCATGACCCATTTCTTCTGCCTCCAGCACCTTCATCCTACGGAGGTTTATTTAACAGAAGGCCTTCGGGTTTGCAATTTGAGTACGAGGGTGGTCTAGGTCAGTTGGTGCATGAAAGTTCTGTCCCTTTTGGCCTCCAGGCTGAGCTGCAGAAAATGACTGCTCAAGAAATAATGGATGCCAAGGCTCTGGCTGCTTCAAAGAATCACAGTGAAGCTGAAAGGAGACGTCGAGAGAGAATCAATAACCATCTTGCAAAACTTCGCAGCTTACTCCCTAGTACTACTAAAGTAAGTATCGTATAATATAGGGTATGTATGATGAACTGTGCTCGACATGATTGGACTATATTTTCTTCTTCCGTAGTATTGTTCAATATAGTCAAGTCTACCTTATTAAATATGTCAAACGTTTACGCAGTTAGTCTTTCGTTTGATCCATAGGATGGTCAGCCCAATTTGAATTTGCTATTTTGGGTTCAAAGGTCTCTGCAAATATTTCCAACAAAATACTTAGATTGACCCTGCACAAGTGATATATTTCAAGATCTAGATCAGTACTAGACTACTAGTGAATATTTAGTTGGTGAATATATCACGAAGTGACACTTTTTTTTTTTTTAAGAATAATTAATTATATTTCCACTTCCACATTGTATTGTGTTGTGTGGGATTTGAAACTTCATTATTATGTTGTTGCTGCATTATAATTGGCAGTGTGTTAGTTCCAAGGAAAGAATAATGGCAAAAAGGGTAAGCTTAATAGGGGAACTATGACTTTTTCTAATCCATGTGAAAAATCTGCAATTATTTTTAGTTCCAAACTTCTCTTATGGTTTTCTCATTTGCACTTGGTATTATTTAGACAGACAAAGCATCATTGCTAGCTGAAGTAATTCAACAAGTTAAGGAGCTAAAGCGGCAGACTTCACTCATAGAAGAATCAAGTCCCGTTCCAACTGAAATTGACGAATTAACAGTCGACAATGAATCGTACGCAGATGGAAGATTCATTCTCAAAGCTTCATTGTGCTGTGAGGACAGGTCTGATCTCTTGCCAGACATTATTAAAACCTTGAAAGATTTGAGATTAAAAACACTGAAAGCAGAAATTACAACACTTGGCGGACGCGTAAAAAATGTTCTACTCATTACTGGAGAAGAAGATTCAAACAGTGATGATCAAGAGCAACGAGAATACACTATAACCTCAATCCAAGAAGCCCTTAAAGCTGTAATGGAGAGATCAAACTGTGGTGATTCTGGTCCAGGAAGTGTTAAGAGACTAAGGACAAATATCAATATCCTTGAACGCAGGTCCCTTTAAAAATTTACTGAGATTGATCTATCTTATTCTACATTTTCTTTACTTTGAGGTTTTGTGTGTGTGTGTGTGTGTGTGGTTTTTTTTTTTTTTTTTTTTTTTTTTTTTTTTTTTTTTTTTTTTTTTTTTTTTTTTTTTTGTAATGATTACTATTAGGTATAATTATGTTGAAATCGAAAAAGTTGACATGAGTGGATTGTGGACCTCGCAGAAGGATGATACACAAATCAAGAAGTAAGTATTGCAGATAATGCTGCACGATTGGAGTTTAGAAAATATTCTCTCTTTCGCGAGGGGAGAAACCTTAGAAAGAAACCTAAAATACACTATAGGATTTAAACCCATCTGAATTTGATTTGGACAAGAAACATGCAGCTTGTTTCTTGTTCTGTAGTGTGATTTTCTGTGTATGAACACTTCCAATGGTGTTTGCTACTATTCATGAAGTTCTACGAGCCTGCTGGCCGCCACCTCGGCCACTTTCCCTCCTACATGCAATAGTTTTCAGGCTTCCAGCTCTGGTGTCCTAAATTTCTAAAGGGAACAGCAAACTTTGAGAGCTTGTGATGGACTGATAATTGTGGGAAGGTGTGTTTGTGTTTATCAAGGCATTTGATAATTAATATATGTGAAGTGCAAGATTTTGAGTTGCACTTTTTGTTGAAAAACTTTCATTAGTTCTTCTTATTAATTAAATATCATCTGGTGCAGTCTAACTGCTCAATTTTTTATTTTTCTTTCTTACATTAAAATTTTATATGCTAAATTTATGTGCACTTCACTGTAGTCTATATGATTATATGCGAGGATTTTCATGTTGGTTGTCGGTATGAATGCACACAAAATTAGAATATGAGCAGAATGATAGTTTTTTATAGAAGGATGGGTTCTATTGGGGTGTTTGGTACCATAGATTAGCCAAACATTGATTAGGATTACGAGAAAAATAGAAGTTCAAATCTTATTAAAATAAGTGATATGTATAATGTTATATAATAATATGTATATCTAATAAACCTCTATAATCTTAGGGTCAAACAATTATATAACTACTTGTCTAGATTCTTTGATTTTTTCTCTCTCTAAATGAATCGCTGGAAGAATGGGTATTTATTCTCTCAAAAAATAAAGATAATATAAATATTGACGAAGGCATATATCGTATCCTTCATTCCAACAGGTAGAACAAAGATAAACTTAACTAGTTTAGGGAGTTGAAGAAAAAGAAAATTCTCGCATTAAATTTCTTGTGCAGTCACCGTGCTATATACAATGTATTGTATTAAATATTTTTGACTTGTGATTAATTTCAGTCACGTTTCAGATTACAGTAGACACAGTATGGAAACGTGGCTATAACATTCTCAGTCCCCCAACCTACCTCCAACCTAATAGCTAGATGGGAACGTAAAATTATTCCTTGTTCAGCAGCTTGCCAAACAACGGATGAGAGAAAAAAATTACAAGTATGACTAGCGTAACATCTACGATTGAATTTGCTTTTATTCTAGTACTTAAGGCTCTTTATTTTGGGCCGTATATGATGCTTGGGCTTTGGGAGGGAGAGATGTGTCATAGTTTTGTAAACTTACCTCATCGACACAAAAAAGAAATAAAATGATGTATAGAATATCGTTACTACGAGAACTATATACTTAGTCTAGTGTTAATCAATTGTAACTCTAATCGAATAGCCAAGTGTGTTTTTGAATGATTTAAGCTAATTAAATTAATTATTTTAGTGACCAAATTATGAAAAATTTTAACTTTAAATTGGATGGTTTCATTTCAATACAATGCAATAACACGACAACATGTGCACATTCTTGTTTTATAAATGTTTCTAATTTAATTAATAGCATCTCTTGATATCAACTAAATATATCGTCTCATATGTGATCTTTATATATCTCCATGAAAGATGCGAAATAATGCATTAAAGATGGTAGAACATTTATAGAAATCTTGCAAAGTATAGCGATATATTTGTCATCTATCAAACTTTATAATGGCTGTTGTAATGTGCTATTTATCCTATTGCTCTCTTGGGAACAATAAAATTCACAAATCATTTCAATTAGTGATCAAGTAATTAAAAAGCATTAAACGTAATAACAAATATTCAACAATAAGGACATATTGGGCATTATTTTATCGAATTTATATTAAAATATCATAATAAGGATCCATCCATGTTTAAGTAATTGAAACCTTAGTCTAACATCACAAAATTGTCAAAAAAAAAAGAAAAAAAAAAGAAAAAAAACATATTTAATTGAAGAAAGAAGCCCCGAATATTGATAAATTGGAAGAAAAAGATGAATATTGAAATCTTGAACCTCTTCAATGATTTTTTGATGAATCTCCAGTTATATCTTCTCTTCTTTGTCCAAGGATCTAGATTGAAACATCAATTTATGGAAAAATTTTAATTGCCCTTTCATTCTTTATAAAACAATAAAATTGGCCTCTTTTTTTTATGATAATTGATGAATAATGGTGTATGAGAGTGTATGTATACAGAGTGAAATTAGGTCAAGAATTACGTTCAAGTTGGATTTCAAAAGGGTTTCAATTAAATAAGGAAAGTTGCATCCGTGTCGCGCATGATTGTCTCTGTGCAGCTATCAATATTTTTTATCGTATCTTTCTCTTTCGATATCTAATTGAGTCGATTTAAAGTCTGTTGCAAAACCAACTCAAAGGTCTATATGTGTTCTAGAAATATAATTTTTCCAATTTGAGCATTTATTATGTCAAAAATGTGTCTCAATCTCAGATTTAGAATCTTAATTGGTGAAATATTAAATATATTTCAATCTTTAATTCTTTTGACTTCCAATTGCATCCAATTAATCATCTATGATCTTCAATAAACATTTTATGGTCTGAATCAACTATTTAATACTTACAATTTGGTCTCCGAACTTTGGATTTTTTATTTTATTTTATTTTATTTCACTTTTTTACTCGTTTTTACTCCTTTTGATCAAATTTCATCCAAAATTGCATATTACTTACACCAACTGACATTTAAATGAAGTAGTATTTTATTCAATTAGGTTCCAAATATTCGCTTTTGATTGCCAAAATTGGTACACGTATCATGTAGCATGAGAGGTGTTGACCCCAAAAAGCGTTGCCAATAGATACCGGTCCCACCCGTGCACACGTGGGCAAATGTCCAACACACTAAGATACGTGAACGGTCTAAAACGAGCGGTTCAAAGGGCGTGGGAGTAGCCCAACGACGCGGGACGGCGAGGTTCGGAATTCGGTGGGTTGTTCGTGATCCGATTGTACAATAATTACCAACCGGTGTTCGTCGATGTATGTGTAAATGTGTATAAACTCGATTTGTATATTGTAAGTAAATGAGAGAGAGTTTAGTAAAGTGTAGTTCTTTGTATTGATTCTTGCATTAGCCTTTTGATGTTACACAAGGGAAGTATTTATAGTGATATATGTGAAATGGGAGCCCTTGGATGAGGTGGCAGTGGCCTCATCTCTTTGATTCAAACATCTTATCCTAGGTATGAGGCTTGACTTGTTAGCTTGCTGCGCATTTATTACTTGTGCAGAGGCTCCATACTAGTGACAAGACTTGACCTTTATACTTATGATAAACGTTCCGTCAATCATTCGAATAAGATCTTTGTGTGGGCAATCTCTTGGGAGAGGTGACCAGGGAGGAAGCCTCCTTGTGGTTCGAAGGTTCCTGCATCGGCTCCGGGGCGTCGGCCATTTCATACGATACTTCCACTTGAGGGCTTTAGCTACCTTCAACCAGTTTCAGCATCATGGCTTCGGGTCATAGGCCTCGGCATGTGGACCTCGGGTACATTTACAGGCCTCGGTAAAAGAGGGCCTCTCTAGTGGACCTCGGCTTGAAGGGCTTCGGCGATAGTCCACCTCGACGATCTATGCCACCTCGGCTGGAGGGCCACGTGGTTCGCCCTGGGTGGGCCATTGGCCCAGGTAGGTTGGCCAAGTATAACAACACGCAACAATAGTCCCCCAAGTCCAAGTATAGATATTTATATCACGGCTGGAGTTAGAGATGTGCTGCTGTGGGTGAATGGTGAAGAGCCGAGGCTGTGTTGAAGGTGAGGCTGAGGTGGTTGGGAAACCGAGCCTACGAGGCTTTGTTGGTGAACGTTGAAGTTGAAGTCGAGGCGGTTGAGAAATCGAACCTGCGAGGTGGTTGAGAAACCAAACCTGCGAGGCTTGTTGGCTTCATCAGCTGAGGTTCCATGGTAATGATTGTGCGTCGATAGCTGTGCCAATGATTTGATGTTTTGTGCTTGTTTTCGAGGAAAAGTGGCTGGTCCGTCCGACTTCCAAGGCGCTTGCTGTCGTCAAATTAAAAACACAATTATGAGGACAGTTGGAGGTTCTAGAAACAAACGCGTTGGATGGGGTGCGTGAGAGGCACGTTTGAATCTGAAGCATAGGTTAGAAAAATTGTTTGAATTCAACGCCTCAGATTTGATCTACAATGGAGGGTTCAGATTGACTGAGTTTTGATCTAACGATTGAGGTTCGTCGTGGACCTCTATAAAGGGTAAGAAAATCCCATTTTTTAGGACTTTTGAAAATTTGCAATTCGATTCTCTCTCAAATTCCTGAATCTTCCGACGTCAAGACTGCCTGTTTTTGATATTTCGGCTTATCTCCGTTCGTAGTGTTCTTCTCTTAGGTATCATTCATAGAAAAACCTTATTTTTGTTGTGTTTATTTTGTGAGATGGAGTCCACCTCAGGTAGGGAGTAGGTGACGGTTGCGTGGTTAGATTACGAGGTCAGTCAGAGGAGGGATGCCGAGGCTGATAATTATGTCATGACCGAGGACCCAGTAGATTATACTGAAGAGTGGGGGCATCTAGGGTGCCCTCAAATATGATGTGGAAGAGGTTAGGGGAGATCAGGGAGAGATATAGTGTCCCCCACACCATAGAGATGCTAGTCCCCGAGCCGAATGAACGGGCCTGCTATCCGAGGTCCGGATGCGTGGCAGTCAGTGAATACCTATTTAAGGCAGGTATGCGTCTTCCTCTGCACCCCTTCTTTAGGGCGGTGTTGAGGAATTTTATGTTGTCGCCGACCCAGGTTTTGCCAAATGGGTGGAGCCAGTTGGTCGGCTCATACTTCCTATGGAAGGAGGTGTCACTTGGGGAGGACATGCCTCTCCATGTATTCATGACACTTTTTCAGCCTCGGATCATTGGGAAGGAGTCCAGGGGGTGGTATTATCTTACACCTTGGGGGGCTCACGCACCCTTTGTGGGGGGGCTGCCTTCCTCCATTAAGGGGTAGAAGGAGTCTTGGTTCTGGGTGCGGGGAAAATGGTAGGCAGTGGAGGGGGACAAGACCCTTTCTTGCACAGTGCCGACCCAGTACTACGAAGCTCGTGAGTCTTCCAGCCCATGCTTGTAATTCTGAATTGAACACTTTGAAAGTTTCTAACTGTTGGGGGTTCCATTGCAGATTGTAGTACGAAGTTCGAGCTCAGCAGGGAGAAGTTCGAGGTGATAGAGGACATCTATAAGAGGCCTCTGAAGCTCCGCCACTTTGACCATCTAATCGACCGGAGTCACTACTTTCTGGATTTTAGACTGATGGCTTCCAGAGGTACGAGGCTCCCATAGTTGTAAATTTCCTTGTGTTTT